GTGGCTGGGCTCCTCCCCGCCTGACAGCCTGCCTTCTTTCAGGCCTGGCTGAACGAGAAATTTGCTCCAGAACTGCTGGAGAGCAAACCTGAAATAATCGAGTGTGTTGTGGAGCAGCTGGACCATATGGTGAGTTCTCAGGCGGGGGTGGTGGCACAGGCAGGCCCTGCGTGCCCGGTCTGGTAAAAACATTCCTGAGGCTCCCAGGGAGTGCCAGGATTGGCTGCTTCCCTCTCTCTGAAACAAAGCTTATCCAAGTTTCTTTGAAGTTGCCTTGGAGAGGAGCTGGAGTACAAGGAAGTACGTGCTTTGAGTCACCAAAAGCAGCCACAGTCTGGGTTTATGGGTTCTCTGTACAAAACCTATATTCCTCTTTTTCTTGGTTGACATTCCAGACACTTCATTTCTCTTGCTTTTTCTTGCAGGAAGCAAACCTGAAACGGGCAAAGAAAGGAGATCTGAAGGTCAGTGTTCACCACATGGAGATTGAAAGGATCCGWTACGTGCTCAGCAGCTACCTGCGCTGTCGGCTGGTGAAGGTAACACTTGCTGTGTAGCCTAGAGGGTGAACAAGGGGCTTTCAGAGCCACCTTTACTCACACAAAGCTTCCTGCTGCAGCAAGGCRTTTAATTAAAGCATGTTCTCTCTCTGTACTCAGAAGTGTAACTCAAAGAAATTAATTTCTCGGACACACTTTCATATTGTAGTGAAGACCACAGCCATGCTGATCACAACACTGAGAGCTGTTTGGTTCATCTAAGCCCGAGGTGGCACAGCTGAATGCTGTCCCATTCTGCCTGAGTTCTGCTGTGTGCACACATGGTTGCATAGTTTGGCCATCCCATGTGATGCCATAGTTGATTTGGGCAGGCCTGTGGCTGCTCATGCAGCTCTAGAGGAAGCCAGTGGACAGTGGAGATTTAAGCACTGAACTTGTGAGAGACACCTACGTTCATTCTTTTGGATTGTGTTCCAATRTTAGATAGAGAAGTTTTTTCCCCACATCCTGGAGAAGGAGAAGTCTCGAGCTGAAGGGGAGCCCTCTGTTTTGTCACCAGAGGAGTTTGCTTTTGCTAAAGAGTGAGTATGTTTTTGATGTATCTTYCTCCCYTTTTRTAGATTATAGAAACTCACCTGTGTGTTTTRCTGAAGTTCTGGGAGCTTTAGATAGGTTTTAAATAACATCCAGTGTGTTTTACCAGGAGGGTTCCTTATGGGCGAGAAAGGAACTGAAACAAAATAACT